TTGCCAAATGGCACGTCAGCTCAGGCTGCAGAGTTGTATGCTCTGCTCAGGGTGTGTATTTTGGCTGAAGGTAGAGTTGCAACCATTTTCACAGACTCCAGGTATGCATTTGGTGTGTGCCATGATTTTGGTGTCTTGTGGAAAATGCGCGGTTTCTTAACATCGGCTGGTAAGCCTATTCAACATCATGCGTTAGTAGCTGAGCTATTAGACGCTATCCTGCTCCCTGCACAGCTAGCAGTAGTTAAATGTGCTGCTCACACAAATTCTAATGATCCTATTTCGCGTGGAAATGCGCTAGCCGACACCGCGGCTAAACAAGCAGCAGTTTCCTCCTCTTCTATGGTACTCCAATGCCCCTCGACACAACCCGCAGAAACCATTTGTTTGCCTTCCTTTAATGATGTCGCGGACATGCAAGCCCGCGCTGATGTTAGGGAGAAAGATTTATGGCTAAGACGAGGTTGTACACTTGACGCTGAGTCCAGCTTGTGGCTCCACCCAGACGGCCGGATGGTCTGTCCCCGTTCATTCCTCCATGTTTTGGCACATGTTGCACATGGCAAATCACATGTAGGAAAAGGAGGGATGAATGGAATTATAAAGTCACAATGGTTTGCTCCAGGCATTACACTAGCTACACAGACCCTTGTAGATAGATGCATGATATGCCAGCAGACAAGAAGAAGAAAAGGTCCAGTTCAGCATGAACATTTACCGCCCCCCTCGGGGCCCTTTGTAAATATGCAAATTGACTTTTCGCACATGCCACCATGCCAAGGATTCAAATATCTTTTGGTAATAGTGTGCCAGTTCTCCAAATGGGTAGAGGCCTACCCTACCAGAAAAGAAGACGCCAGAACAGTTGTAAAGTGTCTTCTCAAAGATGTTGTCCCTAGATTTGGTGTTCCAGCAGGGATTAACAGTGACAGAGGTCCAGCATTCATTTCTAAGATAACCCAGAGTCTAGCTACAGTGTTAGGGTTCAAATGGCAATTGCATGTTCCCTATCATCCACAGAGCTCAGGCCAGGTTGAGAGAATGAACTTGACTATAAAGGAAAAACTCACTAAAACAATGTTGACCACAGGACTAAAATGGGTAGACGCGCTGCCGCTAGTTCTGTGCTCAATCAGAAACTCACCAAATGCAACGACAGGGCTCAGCCCACACGAAGTATTGATGGGAAGGCCAATGTTCACAGGATCTAGTTTTCCAGTAATGCCCCACAGACTCACTCTTTTGTGGACAGAGGATTACATGACTAACTATGTCAAATATCTAACTGAAATGTTGAGAAAGTTTCACAGGCAGGTGGCTGACAGTCTCCCCCAGCCTGGTGAGGAGCCCACCCACCCTTTTCAGATTGGTGATAATGTACTAATCAAATCGCTTGAAAAAGATTCTTTGTCTCCCAGGTGGAAAGGTCCTTTCCAGGTATTAATAGTGACCAGAACAGCCCTGAGAGTACAAGGTAGAGCGGAGTGGATTCACGCTTCAAGATGTCGTCTCTCTCCTCTACCGGATGCTGGCGTGTGAAGGCAGTCACCATCATCGTCATTCTGGGTTTACTGTACCTGGCCAAGAACGCCCTGCTAGATGAAGCTGTGAAAATCCCAACGACAGGTGGCGAGGGACCTCGCCCATCTGAGGGAGAAAATAAGGTGCTCTTATCTAAGAGCGCAGACGACTTGACCACTCAGGGTCCAGGCCCTGAGGGCAAAACAACACCAACGGGCAAAGAAGTGCCTAGCGACAAGGACAGGTTGTATCCAAACACCACACAGACATTCAGTATGGTGCAAGAGACACAAAGAGAGAGAAAAGGAGGGAGAACAAGGAGGATTGTCTCCCTCCCTGATCATAAGTCAGAGACTATTGCCGTTAACTGCCCAAGTTCAATATGTGACTCATCTAACTGTATTATTGTGTTTCCTGTGTTCTCAGTTTACTCAACATGGGAGTTATATCCAGAAAACCAGTACTCTCGGTTCAGGGTCGCACCAGAGGGGGTAAGGATGGTTCTTAACACCATCGAAGAAATGCCCCCAGAACTGTGGTGTAGCACGATAGAACAGTTCGAGGCACTGATAAGGAAGGAGGTAAAATGTACAGTGCGGAAGCCAGATTACCGCATTCCCAATCTAGGTGATACTGCATGCACAGTTACTGGACCAAATAGCAAAACAAATGTTCCATCTACTCCACTTAAACAATCAGGAGGCGAGGTAGATTCTTCAAAAAAGGCCTTAATTACTCCTTATAAACAAACTAAAACTAATTCTGCAGTAAGTTTAATGTTAGACTATGCACATGAACGTAATGTTAGCAACTGTTGGTTGTGCCAAAATATGCCAGAATCAATGCATTCTCCTATGTTTAGCCCAATTCCTTTCACAAAAGCTGATTACGGTTTAGTAAACTGGAATGACATAGCATCTAGAATTAGCGATGAGGCTGAGGATTGTTACACTCCTTCCTACCCCATAGACTCTGAAAAACCTTTACAGTACAAGGGCTTAGTCTCTCTCATTGTTGATACAGTAAATAAAGATTACCTGCCTGACGGTTTCAAACGTTTGATGTTTTTAAAACTAATATATATGAAGAAATACGTTAAACTAGCTTTTGAATATAGATTCCAGTTAGCTCTAGCTCAGACTAATTGTTCAGCTAACTTTACAAGTCCAACATGTACAATGCAACCACACACACCCGCTTTGTTAGTGGAAGCTTTGGTAACAGTTGTGCCCTGGTTCGGCTCTAGGACAGTGGACTCCGTTGAGGTTAAAATACATGACTGTACGCAGCCAATACCCTTAGGCAAGCCCCCTACACGTGACTGCTCAGTATATGTCCCCCCAATTGTTGTGAATGAATGGAAGAATGTGTCCATTTGCTTCCAGAATGCAGTAGGATCTCACACCTCTCCTGATGTGGGACACAGCGACTGTAATGCCATAGTGAGAGTACATATAGCCAGAATTCCCCTCCCACAGAGAGTTTACTTAGTTTGTGGGGACCGAGCCTATGGCTGTGTGCCATATGATGTTTTTTATGGTACCTGTTATCTAGCCTACCTAATCCCTTTAATCCGTAAAGTAGAGGCTACTGAGATTGCAGCAATACTTCCCTCTCTACACAGGAACAGCAGGTCTATTACACAAGGACAACAGATAGCTAGCCTATTCTTGCCTTGGTACGGTATTTATGTTACTCAGCAGGAAATTGTCGCATTGTCTAAAGTGGTAGAACATCATTTAAATGTATCCAACACAGCGATGTTAGCTGAACACAAAGAATTGCAGGAAGTTAGGACAGTAGCACTACAGAATCGTATGGCGCTTGACCTCCTCTTAGCTGCCCAAGGAGGAACATGCAAGGTGATAGGAAGTGAGTGCTGTTCTTTCATATCTGATGCCACACCTGAAGTTATGGACATGGCTCATGATACTGCCAGGGGAATAAAAGAATTGCATGAAACTCATGGGTTTACATTTGGGGAATTAAGTGGAACTTTTGGATCTTGGGGAGCGGGGCTGGTTAAATTTGTTGTTACTGTTTCAGTGTTTGTCTTGGTTGTGCTGATCCTAGTGATCTGTTTGATCACTGTGGTTAAATTAGCCATACGAAGGGTTGCCAAGACTGCCCTCCAGGCCCCACAAAGGCTAGTTGGACATTCGACTGTACAGGACACAATATTAATGTACAATGCCGAGCTTCCGGACCCCTGGGTCTCCATCGTGATCTCCGACCCGTGGGTACCTCCATTCAACGATTGAGATGTTGTTTAAAGTTGATATTCTGAATAAAGAACAGATGTTTTGATAATTGATTACAGTTGATACACTGGATTAAAGGACAAATGTCTGATTTTTCCTTTGCAGGTTGTGATACAAATAAAATGTCTGATTTTCCTTTTCAGATTTTGAACAAGTGTATTTGAATGAAATAAATGTATTACTAAGTGCCTTACTCTTGAATAAAGCGTAATGAAGTAAACGTAAAGTAATGTTAAAGATTGAGGACACTGTATCTTTACAGTTTACAGATTGATCGATTCATCACTGCGAATTTATACCTTAAACTAGGAACCTTAGCTGGATCTCTCATGATTCTGATTTATACCTCAAATTGATTTCTTATAATCCTAAATTCTAATTGTGTTTTTAATAAGTAATTGCCTTAAAGTAAATCTTTGAGATGTAAGCTGATTTTAGAATCTGTGTTTGATGAATGAGATTAACTGAGTGATAAATGATAAAAGATCTTATTTTTTGAAACATATATTTTGCTATAATATTTTGTATCCCATGTGTTTATTATTGTACCTTTTGACAAAAAATGCCAAGCACTGAAGAGAGATGATTTTTATTATGATTGACTGTGTTCAATCAGGGTGATTGAAATGTTTTCAATCTTGTTCTATTTTTAATGTAATGAATGTATCTGAGCCCACCCAACTCTGAGGACGCCTATTGATTTTAAGTATTGACTGAAATATTCTTAGACTAATGTTAATTGGTTATCAATAGATTGATAAAAAGAGTGAATCTGTAAGAGAATATTTTAATCTGATCTGTTTATAGAGTCTCTTATTATTCCTTAGAGTCTGTGATACTGCAAACATCTGCTTGTAGTCACTCAAAGACTCCTCTGTGGGTTGAGGTCACAGATCAAACGCTTCTCCTATATCCGTGGGGGATGTTGAGGCTTGTCTGGATCTCTTTGAGACAAGTAGACCATTGTCTCGCATCGGCTATTGATTAGGTAAACGCGGGCTTTCTATGGGCCGGCCTCTCCTCGTGTTGGTTAGATGTTTTGTGTCTTTTGGTTCAGAGATCGCTGGTGGAGCACTGGACATGTGTGAAACTAAGATGATCTCCCGGCCGTATTGTCTGTACTTTCTCCAATAAAACTCTCAGTGCTTTTGGCTAACAACGGTTCCAGACTCCTTCATTCTACCTCAACATTGCAACAACAGAAGTTTACCTTCACACTTTGTAGCCGGACTTCCACCACTTATCCGTCGTTAAGTTGGAGAGGTATTATCTTTTTGCAGTGGCTCTGATGTATCCACGTAGTTCTTTCGGCGATTTTTAGTGCAGTCGGTGTTGTCAGCAGTACCGTGTAGGGACCGTCCCACCGTGGACAGTGCCAATGCTTCCTCTTAATCACCTTCACGAGGACCTGGTCACCAGTCTGCACTCGAGTGTCCTGCAAGGGAGTAGAAATGTCTGGCAGGTTATTTGTTCGAGCTATCTCATTGCTTCTGAAGAGTCTGCTCATCCATTCAGCTAATGTAGTCTCTGCCTCAGCATCATCCTCCTCCCTCACCTCGTCTGTGATTGGTAATCTGAATTGCCTTCCTGTTATGATCTCAAAGGGAGACAACCCTTTTGCCGTGGGCGTGATTCTCATGCATGTTTCTACCAGAGACACACATTCCACCCATGGTCTTCCTGTTTCCTCCATTGTTTTCCTTAGTCTTAACTTTACTGTTCCGTTTGTTCTTTCCACTAAGCCTGCACTCTGTGGATGATATGCACAATGGTTTTTTAATGTTATCCCCATATGTTCGGACAGTTTGGTAATAACCTGATTTACAAAATGGGAACCATTATCACTGTACAGTTTCTCTGGAATACCTCTGTTTGGTATTATTGTCTTGCATATGGCTTTTGCTACAGTAATAGCATCTGCATGTTTTGCTGGGAATATTTCAACCCACTTTGAAAACGGACATATCATTACCAAACAGTATTTGTACCCTTGGCATGGTGTTAGTTCGATGAAGTCCATATGCATGTGTTGAAACGGGTATGTTGGTGGAGGGAACTTTCCTCTCTGTGGTCGCTCATTGCCTTGAGCATTGTGTCTGCAACATACTACACAGGCTCTACAAAAGTTTTTAGAAAATGTAATGTAGTTGTATGTATGGAAGTGTTCATTTATTATTGTCACCATCCCTCCTGTTGAGACATGGCACGGCCCATGACTCAAATGAGCTGCTGTTTTGTAGAGACTGACAGGGAGTACTATCTTGTTGTTTATTCTGAATGTTCCCTCAGGGTCTGTGGTTGCTCCATCTGTCAACCATTTCTTCTTTTCTCTGTCGGGTGCGCTGTTCTGCATATCCCTTAATATCACAAGAGGTATCGGTTGTGAAACACTTTCCCCCTTCTGTAAGAGGATATGAACCCCATATTCGCCCATAGCTGCTAGCTTCGCTACCTTATCCGCGTGTGCATTGCCAAGTGTTACTGCATCCTTCCCACTGGTGTGCGCAGCACATTTGCATATAGCAATTCTTTTCGGCAACAACACCGCTTTTAAAAGATCAGTCAGCAGCTGTGCATGGGTGACTGGTTTTCCTGTTGACGTTGTCATGCCCCTGCGGGCCCATTGGGCTGCAAATATATGTACTGTTGAGTGCGCATATTGGCTGTCTGTCCACATAGTCACATCTTTTCCAACCCCCGCTTTGCATGCTTCTGTAAGAGCTACTAATTCCGCTGCTTGTGCAGAATATGTGTGGGGGAGTCGGCCTGCTTTTATGACCTGTGAGTGTGATACAACTGCAAACCCTGTTTGATTTTGGCCTGTTATAGATTTAGAACAGGACCCATCCACAAACCATGTTTCGCCACTGAGTAGTTGTTTGTCTTTCAAATCTGGTCTTGGTTTGCATGTTCTGTCAGTCTCTTCTTTACAACAGTGTGGTTCTCCATCTTCTGCTGTAGGTATTAATGTGGCTGGATTTAAGATATTACATCTTTTTATCACAATGTGTGGTTGTGACATTAGTGTAGCTGTCAGTGCCAAATAACGTGCAGGTGATAAGAAAGCCATTTTGGTGTCATGTAACAACATGGTCGCTGCGTGTGGAACCATCAGTGTGAGTGGGTGGAACAAAACTATTTCTGCTGTACAATGTACCGCCATTGCTGCAGCGCATACTGCTTGTACGCATACTGGTAATGCTTGTGCTACTGGGTCTAACCTTTTAGAGTAGTAAGCGACAGGCCTTAGTTGTGTGCCGTGTTTTTGGGCCAATACTGATGTCATAAACCCTTTTTTGCAGTCAACTGTTTGTACAAATGGTTTTTCATAGTCTGGTAATGCTAACACTGATGACCCTACGAGACACTGTTTAGTCCTTTCAAATGCAGCTTCTGCCTCTTGTGTCCATTCTATCTTGCCGGACATTTTCATGTCATTGTTTGAGTATATGCAATCTAGTAGGGGCTGAGTCATTCCTGCGTAGTCTGGAACCCATGCTCTGCAATAGTTAGTCAGCCCAAGGAATTGCATCATTTGTTTTTTTGTTGTTGGTTTTGGTGCGTTTAACACCGTCTGTTTCCTCTCTGAGTGTATGCGTCTCCTTTCTCGGTTTAAATTGTGGCCTAAAAAGATCACTTCCTCTTTCACAAACTGAAGTTTCTGTCTTGAAACCTTGTTTCCTGTTTTGGCCAAATGTGTCAGTACTTGTAGTGTGACTTTTGTGCTTTCTTCCTGTGTGGGTGACGCAACAAGAATATCATCTACATATACCAAAATCTGCGATGTGTCAGGTATCTGTAATGTAGCCAAACAATTTGCTATTTCTTGTGAAAAGATTGTTGGGCTATCCACATACCCCTGAGGTAATCTGGTGTATGTGTACTTTGTTCCTTCATGTGTGAACCCGAACCATCCTTGTGAGTCTTTTTCTACAGGAATGGAGAAAAAGGCATTGCTCAAGTCTATCACTGAGAACCATGCCATATTTGGCTTAAGGCCGTTCATTAACGTGTGTGGATCTGGTACTGTTGGGGCTGTGCTTTGTACAACGTCATTTACTGCTCTTAAGTCTTGAATCATTCTCCATGACTGCCCATCAGCCTTTTTTACTGGGAAGATGGGGGTATTGCATGATGCATCAGGGCACTCACGCAGGATCCCTGCTTTTAGCATTTCTTCAATTACAGGTTTGATGCCAACTTTTGCATCCTCTTTTAAGGGGTATTGTCTTATTTTAGGTCTGTAGTCAGTTTTTGGTCTAACGTGTACAGGTTTTGCGTTCACCATGCGACCTACATCACATTTTCCTTGTGACCATACGCATGGCGGCACCGTTTTCAGGACCTCTAAGGCCTCTTCACTTAGCATACATCATTGTTGTTCAGGGTCGTCTAGGTGGGCACGTGGTGTCATCACTAAGGTAAACCCTAGAGTTTTGCGCTTTAACCCGCCTCCAGTTTGCCAACCGTTTTTGTCATCTGTCCATTTTGTTATCCTGTTACCCCTAGCCACTAATAAACCTAAGTCTCTCCATGAAGTCCCTGGGCCCCTAGCTACTGATATGTGTGGCGTGGAACCTGGTTCCATTATCAAGGCAGTGGTTGATGGGACCCTAGCGTCAATTACAACATCCCCGTGTTGGTTTGCATACATCGAGTGGAACACTACCCTCTGTGGTGTCAGTCGATGCACGAGCACATCATAGTCTTTGTCTGGACCAGGGGTGTTCTTGTACTTTAGTGTAACGTGCAATGCGTCAGGTTTCATTACTTCTTGGCCATGTTGTGGGGTGAATAGTGTTACCAGGTGTTCACCTGTGTTTGTCACGTCAGGTTGTGGCATGTCTAGTGACCAGTAGTAGTTGGGGGTGTTTATGGATTTTTGAAGGAAGACCTGGTCTTCCACCTTTTCTCCGGGCCCTACTGCTCGCATTCCCCCTTTGACTGGTACTACACTGATTTTTAACATTTCCATGCCGTCTCTCCCTAGCAAATTGACAGGGCAGTTTGAGATGAACACAAATTTAAGGGATGCCTGGAGGCCTGACCTTCTATCTTCCATAAAAAGTGGCTTTGAAATCGACCTCTGATTTATGTGTCCATTTGCTGATTTTACAAACATAGTGCCAGTTGGTGGCCACATTCTTTGGACCTCTTTGTTCACTACTGATGAGTCTGCACCGCTGTCACATAAGAATTCTAATTTTTCCCCATTGATTTCGATTGTCCTGGTAGGTTTAATACTGTTGTCTGACAGATTCAGTAATACTTCAGAAAGGTCAATGTGATGTGTGTGGACGTCCTCTTCTTCCTTTTCTACGTCTAGTCAGTTGTCATAACTATGTAGGTTATGTGAAGGGGGGGGCCATGTCTTTCGTCTTTATACTGTCCCTTTTGTCCCCCTTCTTTGTTCTGTGGTATCTGTTCCTCACAGTCCCTCGCCATGTGCCCCTCCTTTCCGCACCTGTAGCAGAGGAATTTTCCTTCTGCGTTTCTGCCTCCTCCTCTGCCTCTGCCTGTTCCTCTACCATTCCCTCATCCTCTGTTAAACCCGCCTCTCCCCTGTCCTGGTCCCACAAAGAAAATCTGATTTTCTTCCCCATCTTCTCCTATGAAGAAAGCTGATGCTGACGCTTTCTTATGTCTTTTTTCTTTGATCTGGGTTGCTGCATGTTCTGCATAATTTAGGCACTCTTGTAAGTCGCATGTCCTATGGTTAACATTATGCTTGCGGATAAAGTCAGCAATACCTGGGTGGAACCCATTCATCAGGCTTTGTTTCAGCTGCTGCACATATGGGGAGTCAACAGCATTGCTGGGTGGAATTCCGCTATGGATACGGAAACAATCTTCCATTCTGATTCTGAAATCTTGTACTGACTCTTTTTCTCCCTGTCTACACCCTGAGACTTTAGTAAAGTCTCGTCTCAGTGCAAAAACCCTCTCGATTGAGATATTTACGGGAGCGAGTGCATTTATGAGGTCCTGCTGACCTGGTTCCAGGGGGTTTCCATTGGGCGAGGACCCGGTGAAATCTCCCTTTACCCTGGCCCATTCGTGGCCAAAAATTGTCATAAGGGTTCTTAAAACTTCATGTCCATTTAAACCATATGACGCTATTAATGCAGTATGGTCAAGGACAAACTGCGCCGGGTCCTGTTTGTATGGAGTCAGTCCCTCACAAGCCTTTTTACACTCATCCATTGTCCATGGGCGGAACACTTTTAACATTCTTTCTAGGTCACCGTCAACTCCATAGTGCGGGTTGGCCACTTGTACTAATGGATAAGCATCACCCTGATATGCTGTTCCATCGAAGGATTGTTCTGCTTCTCTTAATTCTTCAACAGGATATAACTTGGTTTCCCCCTTATTTTTTCTGGTGTGCAGTGGGCTTAATGCATCTGCCATTTCTATGTCGATGCGTTTTTGTGTCTCTCTTTCCCTGTCTTTTCTCTCTTTCTCTTGCTTTCTTTTTATTCTTTGTTCCTGCGCTTTGTGTTCTTCCACTATCGCTCTCTCTTTCTCGCGGCGTACAGCGTCAACTGACCCTGAACGCCCTGTCTCCTCGTCTGCTTTCACTGAAACAGCCGCTGCTATCATACCTTCTTCTGCTTCACCTGTCCTTTTATGGGCTTGTTCAGCCCATAAAGCTGCAACTCGCAGTTGAGCTTCTAACTTCTTTCTTTTCTTGCCTTGTGTTGTTCCAGCTGTTGCTGCTCTCAATTTGTCGCTTAATTCTCTTACTGCTGTTTTCTCCAACTTTCCTCGGAAGCCGTACAGTTTATACCATTTGCTACAATAACTGGTGCTGCCATGACTATATATTTCCATATATCTCATGTCCCCTGTAGCGGCAGGCTTACTCCCATTGGACCCCATGATTCTAGCTTGGTGTTCCTACTGGACAACGTGCCGGTCAGAACCTAATTCCTAATTCACCACTACGTGTACTTCAACAGACCACAGAGTTTGTGTTATCACCATTAGGTTTCCACTCTGTGCGCTGATTCCACTTGGTGACACTTTTACACACTGCTTTCACTCAATCACTCATAAGTGTACCCAAAGGCACGTCGATTCTCCTCCTAGGCAGAGTAGCCTTTCTCTATCAACGTTTTATCAACCTCCTTAACGGCGGAGTAGCCTTTCTCTATCAACGTTTTATCAACCTCCTTAACGGCGGAGAAACCTTTCTCAATCAACGTTTTATCAACCTCCTTAATGGCGGAGAAACCTTTCTCAACCAACGTTTTATCAACCTCCTTAACGGCGGAGAAACCTTTCTCAACCTCCTTAAATGGTGGAGAAACCATGTATATCAATTTTTTATCTTACCCGTTATCTGTGGTCACTGGTCCGGTTGGATTCCGTCAATCGTGCCGAGGATGAGGGAGGTTGGACATATAAGCACCGGCCCGGCCACGAATTCTGCGTCCCGGGTCTTTCTCGGGGTCGGCTGATGATCCCGGCTGTCGACAGA